TTTTGTTTAATTTGCATAGTAAAATAATTGTGTGTTCTCATTTGCTATACAGCCAGATAAAACGACACATCGCTAACCTTAAACGCCCAGTCGTTCGTAAAAGTTGAAGGCAGTATAGTACTATAGTAATAGAGCAAATGCAGAATCACTGAACCGGAATTGATAGCTTGAAAGCATTTAGCGCGGGGCCCTTGAAAGTGCGTGGACCGTAGCATACTGTATGTAGCTACTTTTGTTACTCGGATAATCCGGCACTAATCATCGACTATTGTATTTTTCCCTATGGGGGACGCACTTCAACAGTTTAACACGCCGGGACCATATTTCAAGGTTGCTCGTGTCGTACCAGCTAATTGTTGAAGAGCATCAAGACCTCCGGTGGTGTGTTGGAGAGTAAAATCCACAACATTTACAATCTGAGTACGGCGTTTCGCTGGTAATTACATCCAGCATCATCGGGCGATTTTCCATAATATTCCGGATGTTATTACCAGCGAAACGTCGTACTCAGATTGTAAATGTTGTGGATTTACTCTCCGACACACCGGTGGGCTGAAGTAGTAACTATTTGGCGTTTAGTTTCCGTGACAGATCCCTTACTGATTGGCTGTGTCGGGTGGTGGAGGGTTTCGACGCATTTATAATTACGCAATCTAACACAAAACCATACTTAATGTGGAGCTTTCGTGACTGCAGTAATTACTCTTTGGTTCTTTCGGTAAAGTCACGTATAAAGAGAAAATGTATTATTTTGTATTATTTTCTCTTTATACGTGACTTTACCGAAAGAACCAAAGAGTAACACAAAACCCTTTATTATGAACTAGCTGTACTACCCGGCTTCGCCCGGGACTTGAAACCACCACGCCCGGCCGCCTTTGTCTCCCCAGTGGTGATGTTCACACGCCACATCAGTTACTGGTTTGAGGCTGAGTCGACCTAGGAGAGGCCCAGGACTGGTTCAAATAATCGTCACCGGTGGTGGTGGTGGTGGTGGCTGTGAGCGGGAATCGAACTCGGGTCGCCGGGTTAGTAGCGCGGCGCGCTAACCGCTACGCTACAATGCGTTACGATTCCACATGCGAGGGTCACATGACAGATTTGACGTCACAGCTCACTTGGCGTGCAAAAATATATGCATTATTGAGCTCCCCCCCCCCGCCCCAAAAAAAACAAAAGTGTATTTTTATAATTTTTGCATGGTGTACAGTCTGGAAATTACCCACATGGCAAATTTCCAGTTTGTTACATGTCGGTAAGTACGCTAAACATTTTGAACAGACACACATATTCACAACTTTGCCTTTTATATATACAGTATATGGAGATAATATAATATTGGTCGCGAACGCCCGCTACGATGTTAAACTTATCATCATTCGCGTTGGCGTGGCTACTGAGTGGCCAGAAAAACACGTGGTCCAAAACATTTCGCCTCCTTCACACGCGCGTTCCCCTCCCACGTACCAACAACAACACAAAAATACCACGGTTTACACATCGCATCAGTCACACGGACTCCTAGGGGTGCACAAAATAGGTCAGAGTTTGGTCCAGCGACGAATGTGTGAAGGAGGGTGGGGGGGGGCGAGTTGTCCGGAGTTCAAAATGCGTCGCTTGTTTGGTGTTTTGCACGTGGGGCAAACTCCGCTTGTAGCTGTCGTCGTTCTGCCGTGAGAAGAGACAGCGACGCCTGGAGAATACTCAGCACCCCGAGTCCACAACTCTTTCTCTTGAGCACGCAGCCCCGTAAAACACGTACGGTGCGCCACTGTGTAAACGTCGTGCGTGCCGACAAACGTCAATAATAAGGGAGGCCCTAATCAGTGCCCTACCTTATTACAGAACAGTTCAGACCTTATTGGTCACCCCGTGCGCCTTATAATTCTCAACGTTCATGCTACAAGTATCATCACAAGAGAGAAACACAAATAGACAACAACATTTTTGCCCGTATTTGAAACGGCTGCACGCCGTATGGACCTGGAAACTCAATGTCCCTGTACAAGAATACGGGGTGAACCGTATTGGTTGACACGGCATGTGTACATTTTTCTTCTACCTCTCGTACGGCCGACGATGTAGACGCAGAGAAAGAACTTACAACGTCACATGTTGGTGTTCAAAGCCGGGTGACTGCCCGTCAGGAGCAGCGGAGTGTATCATCGCTGTGATGTCTCCTTCGTATTTGTGGATGGGGCATTGCGTCGTTATACGTCGTACGGTCTGTTCTGGGTGACCACAGTCGCACACTGCTACTGGAGAGTTTTTAGTTTTACATTTGTGCATCAGGTATCCGCATCTGCCACGGTTTGTGCAGCGGAATGCGATTTAGGGTGGACCACGATCTTCGTGGAAGATCAAACCCCAGGGATCTTCTGCGGTGAGTCTTTAACGAGGTGTTCGTGAGTTCTTTAGAACTCTATTCAGCTCTCCAAGCTTAATTGAGGTTGAATTTGCGTTGTGTAAGGTAAAGCGCGTGGGTCCAAAATGTCCCGATGAATTGAAAGGCGACTGTTTCCCTCCATTCGTACTTTGACGTCAGTGGCACACGGTTTTCATCCAAAAATAAATTCGCCCCAGTGGCGTTACACTTACAGAAGTGGAAATTATTTAGTGACGCCCGTTTCTAGATATGTTTTGGGGTGCTTTATCATTATTATTATTACATGGGCAGTTTCACACGTGCATAATGCAAGTGGATTATGTGATCACACCCTTGTTAGATGATGTTATTGCACGCTACACTTTTATTGGCGATGATGCTACAACTACAATGTTGACAATACTCGGCTCTATATTATTCTGAAAAATAAACCACGCCCCCTTCCCCCCAACCTGCTGCACCCATAGCCCATCCACTCGTTATGGGATCTGTGTCGAAATGAGAAATGGGACCGAACGATTTACCCACCACTGTGTTTTTGATAGATTATCACGATTTGATACAATAACAATGTTTTTGTTTGTCTCATCGTACCGTGATCTATTGTTTGTCTCATTGTACCGGATCTATTGTTTGTCTTATTGTACCATAATCCATTGTTTGTCTCATTGTACCATAATGCATTGTTTGTCTCATTGTACCATAATCCATTGTTTGTCTCATTGATCTATTGTTATGCGACCCCGGGGGTCCCGCCATAAAGTGCGTTTTCTTATTGGGAATAATAACAATAACAATTGTGCGCTTTAGCACAAATCGAGTAATCGTGAGTTCCTGCTGAGATGAGCATTGAGGCAGTGATTATTAATTGTTTACAGCCCACATTCCTGTGGCGGAGGTGAGTCTGAAACAGGGGTCGGCAAACCTTTCCAACAAGAAGTTAATTTTTTAGTTTTTGTCTTTGACCAAAATAGTTCGAGAGCCGCATCATACGCAGAGCTACTTGTACACATAAGCGCAGCAGGGATACAGCAGATGACAAACACATTCTGACTTAAATAAACCAAATAAAATAGGTGATAGAATGAACAACGTCGATTTATCCCGTCCCCGTCCCCCCCCCCTTAATTATTATTTAACAATACAGTTTGACTGTCCATTTTGTTTTCACCAATACATTTCATAGTGACCCATTCGCAGCCATATTTAATCAATTATCTTTGCGTTAAATTACGTTTCAGATTTAAGTAAAACATATAAAAACGGCTGCTCCCAACGGGGTGGGGGGGGGGGAGTCAAAAAGCGGCAGTCTGTCGATACCTGGCCTAGAAGAAGCAATGTTGACACCACACACACACAAAAGTGCTGATCATTACATTGTCTCTCGGAGGCTGATTCACCCCCCCCCCCCCGTCGCCAACAGCCGGCATCTGAAGTCGCAATCTTCCGATTCGCGAGCCGCTGGCCCTGCCGCTGAGCCACTCGGGTCTACGCCGTGGCCTCCTCCTCCTCCTCTCAGCGAGCCTTCCACGCGTCACGCGATAAGCTCAGAGTGTACCTAGCCTGGCACAAGCGCTAACAGTGACGTCCGCCGTCACTTAGTGGCGATTGGAGGCTGTTGCTTTTGCATGGGAGTGGTGGTTGTACCTGTTGCCTCACAATAGGACAAGTTCGCTCGGTAGTTTGTAAGCTAAGGTACGGTGGGTCATTTATTATATTATTAAAAGACGGGTTTATTATATATGTTTTATCCATCAGCCATATGAGCGTCTAAACTATTGTTTATTTGACCAGGTGAGGTTTACTGAGCTCCGTAGCTATTTTTCAGATGCGACATGGCCATAAATGATAGTTCAACGAAGTGGCTTATCGTGTGGAAATTTTAAGCAGCCAAAATACTTTCAACGCGTGATGTTAATTATAAATGTGGAGAGAAAATAACGGAGGACCGGAGAAAAATCCACGCGACCACGGGGAGAGATACACCGCAAACTCCAAAAATACACAGCAGGCGTCGGGGGTCGGGATCGAACCCACGAAGGCAGCCTGCACACCAGGCGAGGTCGTTAACATCTCGCCACCGTGGCACCCCAAACCAAACCGGCAGCATTTTTGTTTAAGTTGTTCGGGTTAATGAACTTGGGTGGCAGGATCGTGAGAGGTGGCGGTGGCTTGGGGGGGGAGGGGCTTCATCCAGCAGTGGATTGTGGAAGCGCGTGTTGTCTCCTTATGTGTTTTGCCATGCGTGTTTACCAATGGGACACCCTGGTCACCCATGCAATCGAGATGTCCCGTCAAGCGAGTCGTATTTTTTCCAATTAAACACTGTTACCGGCCGCTGATGATTCCGATAAGATTGTTTAAGACATTTCACAGCTTAAGAACATTCTGGACGCAGGGGTTGTTTGTGTGGTGGCGGAGGCGGCATCAAACCCGGTCCAAGCACAGCTCTGTACTGTTCCATAATCACAGTTGCCGCAGTTACCGAGTGAGCGAGAAATAAATATAGCAGAGCCGCCTTTGTCTCCCCGAGGACCCCGCTCCCCCTCCTCTCCCCTCCCCTAAGTGCCACCTCCGAGTCAGGTTTCACACGCGAGAGAGACGCGGTCGACAGGAGCACAGGCGAAGGTGAGCGACAGACGTCGGCGGAGACGTATAAAGACCAAAGATCACGGCATACAGACGGTGCGGAGGGGAGACACGGATGGGGGTGGGGGGCGATAAAACAGAAACATGGGAAAAGACGCGGTAGGCGCAGACACGTGGCTATTGAGACGCGGAACAACACAGAGAACGAGGGACAGACGTGGACGCACACACGCGCGTGGGTACGGAGACGGGGAACACTTGTGGGAGATGCGTCGCGGCGAGAGATGGGGACAGTGGAAGGGGCAGCAGAAGAGATGCGGGGAAACGGAGCTCGAGATGGCGAGAGTGGATTCACGAGCCGACTGCGGCTGCGATGAAGACCGTGGGGGGGGGGGGAGATTGGCGTGCGACGATGTCATTTTGGAGCAAGCTCTGACAGGGGGGGGGGCGGGGGAGTGGCGGGGGGGATGTTCAGGATCGCCAAGCGAAGAGCCCAGAACCCAGCTTCCCTGTCCACTTCATCTGGGCAGAGCGCCGAAAGAAGCTCTGGGTGCCAGGAGAGTGGCTTGGCTGCCAAGGCAGCAGTGCGGTCATCCGTGCCTCAAAGCAACGGCCTAACCCTTAATGGAGGCGTTACATCTGCGATGGGGGCATAGTAGAAATGTAGTCTGCTCGGTCAAGTGTCTTTCCTTGCTGATGCTCAATGTGATTGACTTTGGAATCCCATAATTCCGTGCTGCCTGTTTAGCCTAGCACTTTGTGTGTACCGTGTGGGTAAAATGTGACTTGGGTCAATGGTCAGAAGCTGTTTTAGCCACATGTTACTCAAGTCACGGTACTTAATTCACTAAGATTGTGAATTTATACTCAATGACCATTGAGACGATGCTCGTCCCCATGTTTACAAACCTGGGACCTGAGCGCAGGGCGTCTCATGCATTTAAAAAAAAAATTCGCAGGCGAGGTTGCTTCCAATTTCGAGTCCCTATGGGATTTACGCGTACATTGCCTTGAGAACGTAGGTACGGTTGGCATGGCAGCAGCCTTAAGTCGACCATTAACGACCCACACACACCTGAACTCTCACACACGCCCCGCCTTTGTCTCCCCAGTGGCGATGTTTACACGTAGAACCAGGTAGGGGTGTACCTCGATGTACTTTTGTCTTGCGTTTTTAAAAACCTGAGCGTGAAAGTGAAAAATCTCATAGCGCCTTAATAGGTTATTGTTAACAGTCGGTTAGATACTCTTTGGTTCTTTCGGTAAAGTCACGTAAAATAAATTAATTTATTTTATATTTTATACCTACGTGACTTTGCCGAAAGAACCAAAGAGTATGGATCCCTGCAGTCACGAAAACTTCAAATCTAGTCTGCTAAACGGCTATACGAGAGATATTTGTCTATTTTTTACAGTGCGTGTCTGTGGGAGAAGAGTGTGCTTTTTCACGCGTGTGTTGGTGTTGGGTGTGCGTGCAAGTGTGGATATGTGCGTGTGTGTCTGCATGTGTATTTTGGAGTGGGGAGCGGTGGTGTAGAGATTAGCACGCTGCGCTATAAACCCGGGGACCCGAGTTCGATTCCCGCTCACGGCCAATACCGGTGACGATAATTTGAGCCGGTCCTGGGCCTTCCCAAGGTCGACTCAGCCTTAAATGAGTAAGCATCGCCACTGGGGAGACAAAGGCGGCCGGGCGTGGTGTTGGCCACCCACACCCCTTCGTGTGCTTTTGGGGCCTTCATGGACCTTCATAGGTGCTCGCTAACAGCATTTGCCCCAACAGTCTGTTAAGGCTACACGGGGGATTCGTGTCTGTCTTCGTGTGTTTGTGAGTGCGTGAGTGTGCGTGGACGTGGGTAATGGTGGACTTAAGGCAATCAATCTCTTCGCCAATTGGAAGTGGGATCAATCTTGGTTTGCGCAATAGATTTTCGTAAGCTGCTTGGTACTCGGGTTGCTGGGCCTGGCGGAGGTAAGTTTGCCCATCGGATAAGCCCCGTTTACTTCCCCACAAACCGATACTCATTCTATCGACCCCAGAGGGATGATGGACTAAGTCAACCCCCAAAAAGGATTTGAACTCGCAACCTTCCGATTGTGAGCCACTCATTCTACTGCCGAGACGCCGAGCTTATTATTACAAAGGGATTGTCACTTTGTGGCCTGGGTAAATTATAAACGAATGGATTAGAAGCGACAATGATTCTCGTGTTAACATTGATGTTTTGTCACAGACTACAAAGATGGATCAGACCCTTCCTGCCCCTCCGGTCAGGCGACCTCGGTTTGCCAACATCAAGGTTTGTTTGTCTGAAGGACGCCACCATAAACAAACAGCTGCTATTTTACAGAAACGTGTGCATTGCATGATGCACGTCACAAGCTTGAAGCTTCAAACTTGATATCACTGCGGTGACACTGGTATGTTTATTAATAATGTCGATGACATCACTAGAGTGGCATGCCTTCACGTCATTTTAAACTTTTTATTATCGTCGATAAGCTTCAAACTCGTTTTGGACAGACCATGACACACAGCCAGGTTGTATCCGCGGAATAACAGCTGTTTGTTTTATTTTTGGCATTCTTTAATGAGACTTTGAAATGTCTTGGATTTTCGTTATCTCGTTTCAATGCAGTCCATTTCGTCCCCCAGGTGATGGTATTAGTCGTGTTTAATGTGACGTGAAAGCACGTTACAGGTGGGCCGCCGTGAGAAGGCTTTGACATTCCTCGAAGACACTGGTTTAACCGATTAGCATGGTTGGATATGTACGGTGCGACAAAAGTTCAACATACTTACATAAACATCAACTGCATCAGAACATCAACAGGCCGACAATAATAACAATAGGATATGTTTCTAAGGCACATTTAATCTGCAGATTCCAATGCATGTCTCTTTAATACATTTAAATTTATGGACAAGCCACATGGAGTGTCCGGGCAATAGGCTGTGTATGACATTGCTATTAAGCCGATTTAATGACAGTTTGTGTTCGTGTTTAGAAAACGTGCACCTCATGAATTTTGTCACCACTCGTCCACTGAACAACCACATTAACTTGTATGCCTCTTTAATTTGACGTTGTCCTTTTCCCCCAACCTTACCCTGATCGAGCTGTCGGCATCGGGTCACAAGACAAAGCGTCTTTTAAGATCTTCCATAGCAGTACAACCCTCCTCGTTGGAGAACAGACCCCACAAGGGGATACTGCAGAGCTGCATCTGAGATCCCTTCTTCAAGTGACCTCTGGTCTACACATAGTAGAGGGAAGCACTTCCCACTCGCCATGCATGCGAGGGTAATGTTCATCACGTGACAGTAAAACCAATATGTTAATAATCACAGCTGGCACTGAGCCAAATGAAGCGCATAATCGAATTTCACATGAGTTGTTTTTTGAGCCGTCATTAGTGATCAGGCTGAGACCATCAACTCTCTACACAGGATGACGGCCTGGATGCAAAGTCCTCGTCTATCAAACCATAACTCCCCAACTCCTCTCACGTACCCCCCGCACCCTGCAGGTTTTCTTGCTCTGTCTGTCGCTGCTCTTCTTCTCCAAGGCGATGTCCGGCAGCTACATGAAGAGCTCCATCACCTCCATCGAGCGCCACTTCAACCTGCCGAGCTCCGTGGCTGGGATCATCGACGGCGGCTTTGAGATGGGTACGTATGGCCGCAGACACCTTTCCTACGAGCTCCCAAATTCACGGAGAGAAAGCTGAAGACCTGGGGTCGAGATCCTCGTACATTTGATCCTGGTCCTCCTTGAACACAACAACAAACGCCACTTCCCACTGAGTGGCGGTGATGTCACCGCGGTGCTTGTGCCAGGCTAGGTGCACCTTGAGGCTACGTGAAGTGCCGAACGCTCGCTTGCAGGAGGTCAGAGGACATACCTGTCCTCTGACCACTTAGCAGTGAGCCTTCTCCACGTGGTCTCAAAATATACCTATCTTGGTACATGTGCTGTTGTGATATTGTAGTCACTTTGTGAGTGGATCCTAGCTTGCTATTATGCTGTTGCCACCAGGCAATCTGCTGGTGATCACGGCTGTGAGCTACTTTGGGGCGCGCTTCCATCGTCCTCGCATCATCGCAGCCGGAGCCACCCTCATGGGGCTGGGCACCCTGCTCATAGCCCTGCCGCACTTCCTCATGGGCAGGTGAGCTCCTCCTTACACTCCCACACAAAGACACACACGGAGCCACCCTCATGGGGCTGGGCACCCTGCTCATAGCCCTGCCGCACTTCCTTATGGGCAGGTGAGCTCCTCCTTACACTCCCACACAAAGACACACACACAGTCAGACACTCGTAATACAAAGAATCACACTCGTATACACCTAAAACTTCAGCGACAAGAGCCGCTATTCGCCACTAAATCTCAATGATGTCACCACAACGCTTGTGTCAGTCTAGGTGCACTTTGAGGCTCGCTGGTAGATATTCTTCTTCTTCGTGTCTAACCTACATAGTCTGTGCCCAACATTCTGCATAGGCCACCACTGGTAGATGCACCACCTGTACTCCCCACGGTGCCAACTTGAAACTTTTTAACAACCCAGCAATCTGTTCATAGTTGTCACCATTGCTCCTCCGCCCTCCGTTGTTGCTGGAGGTCGACTGCCTCCCACTACCCAGTAGCGGCCTTCATCAACCTCCTTCACAGAGGCCCATCTTTATACCGCTGATACGAGTCATCGGCAAATCAAATCAGCTCAAAATCCTCCCGTACCACTGACAAATACAGCTAAGCATATGTATGGGTCACTGAAAGGCGTAGCCGAGGCTCTGATGCGCCAGGCGTGAGCCTAACTTGCGCCTATTGGCCGCTCACTGAGCGTTCACCAGATTGGCAGATTGCGAGGCATTGGAATTTGATTGTACAAGGAGTATTTAAGGGTGAAAGCCCGGGAAATTTAAACAAATTGTAACTTGGAATCGGTTAGAGAGCCACTGAGGGTATTTAAGTGGGATTGACTAGGAAGAAGCGAGGTAAGAAGGACTTCCATCCATGCAAACACGATCATCGTCGTAACTGCTGTCATCACCACATCAAAAGATCATGATTGTGATCGTCACCATCACCACCTTTGATAATGCCGCAAGTAAGAATAAACATCCTCTGCGCACCCGGTGTTGGTTTGTCGTACCCCTGGATGGAACTGCCTCCCCCCCGTGCTGCGCTCATCTGCAGATACGACTACCAGAGTCACACGTACGGGGAGGGGCCCCAGTGGATGTGCGTGCCACGCGGCCAGCAGTCCAGCCTCCCGCAGGAGCCCACGTCAGCGGAGCCGGCTTCGGGCAGTGGTGGGGAAGGTTCGTGACGCGAGAGACTCGCACTCCGAGAAAGAGGGGGTCACGAGATGACAGTGCTCTCACTCAATCTCTAGTTGGTTGGATCCTCAGATGGCTTTTGTTGGCACTGCATGGTTCCATGCTTCCACCGACGGAGCGCTTGTGCCACGCCCACTTTTTGAAACCTTTAACAACGGTTGCCTTCGGTGACCTCCCCCTCTTTCCTCCTGAAGACGATCGCTTGTGTTGTGATCGAAACGTCGTGGTTTATTTTATTTTATTTACATTTTTCTATTTTTTTACCGAAAGAACCAAAGAATAAGTCTACATTATAGGCTGCCAGTACACTCACTCAGGTTAAGAACCAGGCTACAGTCTACATTATAGACTGCGAATATGCTCACCAAGCTTAAAAACCAGGCTACAGTCTACATTATAGACTGCCAAGACACTCACCATACTTAATAACCAGACTATAGTCTACATTATAGACTGCCAGTACACTCACTCATATTAAAAACCAGGCTGCAGTCTATATTAGTGGTTTTTCTTTTGTATTATTTTATTTTCATTTTTTAAAATTATTTTCTATCTACATTACTTTACCGAAAGACCCAAATAATATATACTCTATTTGGTTGTTTTTGCTCTGATTTATGTTCGCTTCGTCTGTTCTGCTTTGTACGTCATACCTGTTGTTATTCCGGCCACCCAGGTCACTGTGGCCCATTGAGACTCTCCTGGTCTCTAAAGTTCTCACTTGGTCCATTAAATCTAACTTGAAGCTTGCCTGTCGGCCTCCGGCTGCGTCGTACGCGTGCGTCTCTACCCCAGGCTGCCAGCACAAGGCGCAGTCGTCACTCTGGGTGCTCATACTCGTGGGGAACGCGCTCAGGGGCATCGGGGAGTCGCCCATCACTCCCCTGGGCATCTCCTTCCTGGACGACCACGCGCGCGCCGACAACTCCGCCTTCTACCTGGGTGCGTGCGGTCGGTGCCTCTTCCCCTCCTGTGTGTTCAGGCGTCCAGGGCACTAGCGAGAGAATAGAGGCAGGTAGGGCAGTTCGCCTCAAGCGCCAGGTCCGAGGGGGCCTCAGAGGAATCGTCATCTGGCTTTTTTTTGCTCATCTGGCCGGTTGAGCTGCTCGTCTCCAGTGCTATGTGCATCCGAAAAGTCAAGTCAGAGTCATAGAACAACTGCTGTTGACTTTCCCACAACGTTTTAGTTGCTTTATCGACCCCGGAGGGAGGGATGATGGGCTGAGTCAACCCCAGTAACCAGGGTTTGAACTCTCAACCTTCTGCTTGTGAGCTGCTCCCTCTACCGCTGAGCCACGTGGCCGGGTCTTTCAAGCTGGGAGACGATGCGTGCACGGGCCAGAGACAGGTGGCTATGGGAGGGAGGGGTCAAAGTGTCAAGGTGCAGCCCTTCGATTGCTTGCTCATTACACTGCCGCTTGCTCTACCTCTGAGCCGCCTGGCACTTCGAAAGGCGCTCAATGCGTGCAGCGCTTGCTCCGAGAGTTGGTGAAAGTGGACACCCTTCGAGGTCTGCATCACTGACACTGCCTGTGTGTGCCACAGGATGCGTAATGACCGTGGGGCTCATCGGCCCTGCAGTCGGCTTCCTGGTTGGATCCGTCTGCACGAAGCTGTTCGTGGACGTGGGGTTCGTCAATATGGGTGAGGCAGCGTGACGTACTCCCTCGGAGAGGCCCCTGCGCAGGTCTGGTCGGTCTAGCCCGGCAAGGCTGACGTTGTCAAGAAGCCACTGTCTATGACGAGCTTGCTACGTTCGCTGCAGGGCTTGTGGTTGGAGAGAGGCATCCATGACACAACTCACACGATTGATCTGTTACGCTCTCCTCTGTTTTCTGGAGCTGAAGAAGCTCCAGCACGTAATGTGAAGTATTCGGCAATGCCAAAGAACATGCGGTTGAGAATAATTGACGACGCACTTTAATAATAGTGAGAGTCTTCTCCTGGTGTATTCTGCAAGCATATTATTTGTTTGCTTATAATCTTAAACACAAAATATAGGAATCGTCCCTGATGCAGGAAAAGTCAAGGCAATTTTTAAGCAGCGTTTTTCTTGAGAGGTTTGATCAACTTCATATAGAGTAGTTTTTTCTGCTGTGGTGAGGAAATTAGATTGTTTTTTATTTGACGAATATATGTGTATTGCCCAGGGGGGTCAGAGCACTGAGCCAGTACCCCCTGTCCCCTCTCCCCGAGATCCTGAGAGCAAATCGAGGTGACCCACGGTGATTAAACCAGGTTCTCAAGAGCAGTGAGTGGATGGCTTCAGCTTTGTTACCGATATATTTAGTGTCACCCGTCATAACCGAGCGTCGATGCCGACGACAGATGCTGTCCAGGTTTGGTGAATGTCCCCCCCCTGTCCCCCCCCCCCCCCCCGAGGACAGTCCCATCCGACTGCTCTTCTTGTGTCACAAGCTCGTCCGTCTTCTTCCCGTTCCCCTTCTCGTCTCCTGTTTACAGCCCTGAACCGGCGGTGGAAATTTCACATGCCTATGTTGGCAGTGAGTCTCTCAAGTGGACAACCACTGTTAATTTTGTCCTTACGCGATCTGTGGGATGTTCCTAACACTGGAGACGCAAGACACAACTGCTGTGACATCGCCCATTGACACTGCATGCAATCTATGCCTCATGATCCATGCATCCGAGATGCATGTGCCATAGCTCGTTGGAATCCGCTCATAGAGATGAGTTCAACGCTATAAATATCTCCTCTGTTGGATGTTCCTACCGGGGATGTAAAGCACAACTCATGTGACTTCTCCGACTGACACCCCATGGAATTTACGCTTCACGCTCTACATACGCATCCAGAATGATATTTTATCGGCCGCAGAGGAAAGGTGGGCCGAGTCAGCCCCCAACCGGGATTTTATTGGCAGCCGATTGCTCTTCCGCATAGTCACCTGGGCAACTGTGATGCTCTTCGGTACATTCCCTGCATGTGCCATAATTCCTCTCCTTCTAGACTTCTCAACAATGATTCCTGCTTCTCAACAACATTTTCACCATATTCCTATCGGAGTGTTCACTTTTTTGTCCACACCACATGCCAAGTGCATTCACTGTTTGTGCGCCCTCCTCCCGTGACATCCACATTTCACTTGCGTATGTCAAACCATTTCTGTGCGAGCGTGCATTTGTCTTGGGGTTTTTTTTTGGTTAGTTTTTGCGCTACAAACGCAGCGCACCCTAACACCTCTTTCCAATTCCCACCGTTCCCTGGACCCCCCCTGGCCCTCCGCACCGCCGCAGAGGAGGTGACCATCTCTCCGCAGGACTCCCGCTGGGTAGGGGCCTGGTGGCTGGGCTTCCTGATCGCCGGGGGCATCACGCTGCTCACCGCGCTCCCGCTCTGGTTCTTCCCGGCCTCTGTGCCCCACGAGGAGGAGTTTGCAATGGCGGCTGCGGCAGTGGCGACGGTGGGAGACGGGCGCGGAGACCTGGACGCTCTGAGCGCGGGAGAGAGAGCTCATGAAGCGTCTGGCAAGGAGGAGGGCGCGCACTCTGCCAACAATGAGCAAAGGACGGTCATTAATACAAGGGGACTTGACATTGTCGGTCACATTGCTGAAGCGGAACTTGCTGAAAGGAATACTGTACAAGATTCGGCCAAAAATAAATACAAAGCTAGTACTGAGCTTGCCAGCCGGCACACAGAGAGTAACGTGCGTCCTGAAAACACGGAGGCAAGCTTGCATCTCACTCCGGAAACCATCAGATCTCTGGCTAAAGGTAAGGTGATTCAGCGAAATGAATAATAATAATACTAAAAGGTTGGGGTGGTGCCGCAGTGCTTTGTTTGCTACGCAATGAACCCGGCGACCTGAGTTTGATTGCCTACAGCAGCCAACGGTGAGTGGGGCGAGTGATATCTGAACCGTTTCTGGCCCCCTCTTCACCGTCCCGCGCTAATCCGTGTGGTGAGGTATGGTCCAACTTCTCCCCAAGGTGGACACAGCACGTGGAATCCTTGACGGATGGGCTGTAAGAAATTCCACCACTTTTATAATTGCTTTTAAAACAAATTTGCTAGAGGTAGCCTAGTTATAATACAATTGTGTTTATATGAAGAGATTGACCTCAAATTGGCAGTCATCAGAATTGTATGCATTCCTGGTACAATAGTTGCTCCCAATATATTCGATTTAAATCACCATCAAATAATTTTGGCATTTTATAATGACTGCTGTATTTTCACTTCATGCAATTATTTCGCCGCGTGTATTTTCTTGATGAAAAAAAAAGCCCCAATTATAACCGAGGCAAAAAATGTGAACGTCAATGGAGCACGGTCATGTGCGTGGTGCATCGGCTGTAGCGTTGGGCGGTCATGAGTGGGGGGGGAGGAGGAGGCCACGAGTCCTGGTAAGGGTGGGAGGAGTGTGAGCAGTGGCACAGTGGTTAGCTTACTGCACTCCGAACCCAGCGTCCCGAGTTCAATTCCCGCTCACGGTCAAGCACAGTGACTAATATCTCAACCCATGCTGGGCCCTCCCCTAGGTGAGTTCAGTCTTCAATGAGTATACCTGGTCTTATGTGTAAACATCAGCAGAGGGGAGACAAATATGGCCGGGCATGGTGCTGGCTACCCACCCTCACGTGTGCCATGTCGTCTTAAATAGGCGCTCTCTTTAAAAATAACGTGTTTCAAAATAATTTGCACAGCTCACGAATGAAATCTGCCCCGTTATTGAGGATATTTACGATTATGATACCCCTCCTGGCCAGTGTGTAAGAGTAGGCCAGTGTATCCTGTAGAGTACCCTCCAGTGGAGACCAAACAGCAATCGGAGGGCTGCTCCTTGACCCTTTGACCCCTCCCTAGCCACCTCTCTGGCCCGTGCACGCATCGTCTCCCAACTTGAGAGACCCGGCCATGTGGCTCAGTGTTAGAGCGATCGGCTCGCAAGCAGAAGTTTGAGAGTTCACATCCTAGTTAGAAAATCCTAGTTAACATGGTTTGCTACGTACGATGCGAAAGAAGTTCAGCATACATACATTCTGTGACCCAGCCCATCATCCCTCCATCCGGGGTCGATAATACGAGTACCACTTTGTGGGGAAGACAACGGTGATCGTCCTTTGGATAGGAATGTGGTACTTTCGCCACCGGTCCAGGGCTGCAAGCGGGAGATGAGCGCCTGTAGATGTTTCATGGCAACTGCTTTGTTTACACGAGCCCGGGGAGTCTCTTTGCTTCCGTAGACTTCCTGCCGTCCCTGCGCTGCCTGATGGCGAACCCCGTGTACGTGTGCATGCTCATCAACTACGTGATGCTCATGAACGCCTTCATGGGCTTCTTCACGTTCAAGGCCAAGTACCTCGAGGAACAGTTTGGCGAGACGGCTTCACGCAGCAACCTCATTATAGGTGTGGCAAGTCGACACACGCCCGCACACACTTGCGTACTTGTAACCCCGACCATGAGACATGAACTGTTTAATACGCACTGGTTTGTGCAAATAAACCCTGTTGTACTGTTTAACGCGTAGGCTTTCGCGACCAACATTGTCCATAGTAACGGTGTTTTTGGGTTAGATCGCTTCAATGTAAATGTTTCGTAAAACCCACCACCACCCAAATGGACTGATGAAACTGGTTGCTGTAATCGCCAGCAAAACGTCGTACTCAAGTTTGGAAATGTTGTGGGTTTACTCTCCAACACACCGGTGTGCCGAAGTAGTAACTAATTGGCACGTTCTGTTTACGTGACAAACCTTAGTAATTGGCTGCGTCGGGTGGTGACGGGTTAACGACACATTTATATATTTACGCGATCCAACCCAAAAGAAAACCGTACTGCCTAACCTGCAATGTATTTCTCTCACGGCTGCCCTACTCCGCCATGCTGGTCTTGGACGAGGTTGGCGTACCAACGCTTCACCCCACCACCACACCCGACCTCATGATTGACTGACCGTGGTGAACCCATTTATACTGCTGGGTGGAAATAAGTGGCGGGGGAAGGGCGGATTTGAACGGTGACCTTCATGCGGCACAGCCCAGCACGCTACCCATTGCCCCATGGCAGATGCCTGTGATGGTAGAAATGCACTTGAAATGATTTTCCACCCTCCCCAATGTCCCGAGCCAGGCGCGGTGAGCCTGCCCATTGTGGCCATCGGCATATTCCTGGGCGGCCTCGTGTGCAAGCGCGCCAAGCCGTCCCTGCTGAGCCTGGCGCTGCTGGTCCTCGCGATGGAGTTCCCGGGATTCCTCCTCACGCTGCCGTACTTCTTCATCGGATGCGGAGGGGCGCGCGTCGCCGGCGTTACCGTCCCGTATGATGGGTGAACACGAGCACCCTGGCCATGCCCCCACTCTCATCCCACTGGACTTTCATTTAACTGGAATAAAGGTAAAGGTGCAGCCCTGCAATCTCTTGCTCATGCCACTGCTGGCTGGAAGGGCTTCCAACTAGAGGGAGCTCTCGAGAACCTGTCTCTTGTTCGCGACTCTCTGCACGAATTCTGCACGTGCTATTATTTTGGCCAACTCCTCCATGCTGGCCAGACAAGAATAAGTACCCGTGTTGTACTCCACCGCGCACAACCGGACGACACAACAATTTGTGCGGTGGAGACAAGGACGGCCAGGGGTGGTGGTGCCCACACCACCCCTCCATGCGCCGTCGCGACCTTCCTAGGGGCAAGCGAACAGCACTTTCCCAGCAGCTTGTGCGAGCTACCTGGGGGAATCTGTGTGTGTCCGTAGTGGTACAGTGCTGCCGGGCGGGTCGCTGCTGGCTCCGTGCAACGCGCACTGCGCGTGCTCCTCAGGCGCGTGGGACCCGGTGTGCGGCGCGGACGGCGTCACCTACGCGTCGCCCTGCCTCGCCGGGTGCTCCGTCATGCGGGGCAGCGGCAGGGACACGGTCAGAGCCGCCATTGCCCCGTGTTGATTCCTGCGGGTGTGCGTGTTTCCTTTTTGTGTGCGTGTGTTTGCTTCCTGTGTGTGATTTCTGTGTGCACGTGTTTGATTCCTGTGTGTGTGTTTGATTCCTGTGTGTGTGTGTGATTCCTGTGTGTGTGCTTGATTCCTGTGTTTGATAGCTGTGTGCATGTGTGTGTTTGATTCTTGAGGGTGATTCCTGTGTGTGTGTGATATCTCTGAGTGTGTGCGATTCCCGTGCGCGCTTGTGGACAATGGTGGAATCAAATCCCGTTTGATTTGCCGCTCATTGCAGAGGTCCTCTGTTCGGATCCGTTTGGCCTCCCTGGTTAATCTTCATGTCTTGTGTTTCACCATGTGGGCAAGTCAGGTTTACCAGGAGTGCGCTTGCATCGGTGCCGGAGGCACGCACAATTCCTCAGCCTTGTTGGAGCAGTGCCCTCGGGAAGACGACTGCCACAGGAAGTTCATCCTCTTCATGCTCAGCTCCTCCGTGGCCGCGTTCTTCAACGCCTTGGCCTTCACGCCAAGCTACACTTTCTTCATACGGCACGTTTCTGCCGCAGCCCACAACATTGGACCGTAATGGCAGCCAGTGAAGGCACGAGGCTGCAGCCTCGAACGTAGGAAGGTGGCGCAGTGAAGTATCCATTTGTACGTGTGGTAGCATAACATGTGGGAGGTTGGTCTCTTCGTGAGGATTTTAAAAGTTAGTCCTCGTCATCAGCCACGGTAATTCATCGCTGGTTGAAAACATACATCCCCATCTTGAAGGCAGACCGGGATTAAAATTAAATAAAAAGGCAAAACAAAAGCAGGTTGGAGGAAACCCAGAAACAGCTAGATCATAGGCGATAATTAACTATATTACTGTTTGAAGTGTTTGACCTGTATTAACCATTTCTGCACTCTACTGCATTGCACTCTGTCACATTATGTGTGACCTCAGACGATGGCTTGCGATCGATGCGGTGCATTCCAGCGCTATCGGATCACACCCCATCGTTGGCACAGAAATCACATTGTGTATCCCACTATCTGGTGTTTGGCCCACGTGCCACTCCAATGCCTGTCTTGGCAAGCTGCTCTCTTCCATCGTGCACGTGTCCCACCCAACGCAACCTTCTTTTCCACCGATTAGATTTACAACGCCCCATGCCACATTCTATTCCAAACTTCCACGTTGCTTCCACAAAATACCTAGCATTATTCATAACCAATATGTAACTATAAAACTGAGCCGCTTGAGTAGTTGCCGTTCACTGAAATATCAGGCAGTCCCGCTTTGGTTTTGTTGGTCGCTGTGGACCCATCTAGTGGTACACGGTACATTTTTGTTGCGCTCAGTGTTGCTCTAGGTCAACTTCAGTAAAAGAAAAACAAGCACATGGTCGTTTTTACATTCTATAATTTCCCTGGGATTGAGAATAGGATTTAACCCAACTGTCAATGTGCTGACCCGATGTTCCGCTCATTCGGTTTTGACGAGTCTTCGTCGGACGTCGACTCTTCCTCTGTCGCTGTGTCTCACTTGCGACTCTCGCGTGTGTTTACAGAGGCATCAGAAAAGACCTGACTTCCTTTGCTCTGGGGATACAGACCCTCATTACCCGAGTGTTGGGTAAGGAAATCGTTTTGCACTCGGTAAAGGTGTAGCCCTGCAATTGCTTGGTTACGCCACTGCTGGAACAAAAAAGGCCCTCAAACGAGAGGGAGCTCTAGAGAGCACATCTAGATGATGCTTGGCCCACTTTCTACACTGCAGTGTGTCCATCCATACCGCTGGATGGAAAGAGGCGGTGGGGGTGCACGATTGTTCAAACTACCGTGCCAGGAGATCGAACCGGCGACCTTGCCAGCCCAGTGTGCTAAGCGTTGCACCACACAGCTTGAACCTGCTATTGCAAGAGGTGAAATGTATCTGCAGGCAATGGAATGTGTGACTTTAGTTCTCGATGCGTTTCCCTGCTGATATAAGCGTTGGGCCATGCTCTTCTGGCTTGGTCACCCTGAGGCACCGGTGGAAATATATTACGTTCCTATGACAATAACCGTTCTCCCCATAGAATGTTTTTGTTGATGTATATGACGAGAGCAGCAGGTAAAAGCTAATTTGATCAATCCCAGAGGACTGATGAACTGAGTCATCGCCCAACAGGGATTTGAAGACCATCTCGAGTTTGTGAAAGGGGCGTTTGCTTCAAGCACAGCCCGTAAACCATTCGTAGGAGTCAATTATACACATCTTAACAGTAAATGACATGTGCTCTTCATGCATGCGTAACTGTTAGAATATATAGTACACTAAAATGTTAAGTACTATACTTTTACAAATGTTAAAAAGCAGCTTTTTGCATGCTATGAACGGGTCAATAGCCCAGCCCCTGGCCCTGCTTGGCCCCAAGCCAGATACGGATGTCTTGTGAGGCCATCGGATCACGGTTTGGTCCCGGCTCGGCTTGGCACGGCAGTGGAAAATCACCCATACCGTGAGGTCTCGTGGTGGCTTGGTTTTGCATGTGGCAGTCGAGAAGGGGTCATTGTCTCTTTTTACAGCTGGGATCCCTGCACCGATTGTTTTTGGTGCTGCCATCGACTCCACGTGCCTCAAGTCATCATCAGGCCAGGCGTGCCAGGGCGAGGGCTCGTGCCACGTATACGACGTCAACGCGTACAGGCGAGCGCAGGCAGCCTCCAACTCACGCTCGCTTCACACTCCCGTACAGCTCGGCGTCGTGGAGATTTGGTGCCCATAACACGCATAAATATTAAGGGTGGACTTTTTCGTTGATGCAAAATGAACCAGTCAAACGTTTCCTGAAACAAATGATAACGTATAAGCCTGTCTACACACCGGCATCTGGAATGTGCTGGTTCTTGTGTGAAGTTGTGAATGTGACTGTAAATTGGCTGTCCACTTTGTTTGACACCCCTTTTGAAATCAGGAGGAAGCAGGTCGCGCTAATGACTGGGTTTCTGGGCATTTCGCTGCTCTTCACGGTCCTGGTTGTTGTGCTGATCTGGAAGGACGAGAAGAAAGCCCCGAGGCAAGGTGGGGCAGAGGTCAGGGCTGAGACCCACGGTGCCACTTCGTCCGAGTTCCTGAACCTGCCCTGCATCAGGACCACAGGAGACCAGGAGTGCCTCGTCTCAACGGTCACATCGGGCCTGCAGGGCTCAGAGCTTGATCACGGGGAACGGAGTATGAGGCTTCCTAATGCCGGTGGTGAGGGCTCATTGCTTTAAAGCAGAAAACATCAATAATAGTGACAGCAGGGTAATCAATGGGCATCTCTTGGTTCGAAAACAAAAACTGCAGCTCTGAAATATGACCCGATTGGTGTGTTGCCATATGGCCCTCTCACTGAAAAATAATTGCCAAATTGACGGAAAATTATTTGGCCATTTTTTTGACAAATCTCTGCAAAATTGCCATTCACCAACACTCACATTAGGCCCATGGATTTTAATCGTGTTTTTCGTGTGTGTATGATGACATAGGCAGTATATACTCATTATAAACCACACACATAGAATGGAATGGGATAATATTTCACAAAATGGAGTTAATCCAGGGATATGTCATTACTTAATTTTAAAACAAACAAGTGGGGAAAGTAGATACAAGTGGGATAAGAGCAAAATATTGTATGTTTTTACAGAAACGTGTCACTTGTGGTTCATAGTGGTCCCCGATGGAGTGAAGAGCATGGTTGGAAGGTCGTAGCGGCTGAACCAGTATGCTTTCTCATCACGATCTTCACGTATTGGCTGCTAGTATCAGATAATGGCCTTTCACACGTATCCTGTTGCAGCATGTTCCTGGTTCCTGTCTGATCCTGCAAATGTCAGTACAGGTATATCTCGAAAGAGCTGAATGCCTCATCAGAGTTCTGATTCTGAAATTTCGCGTTAATGCAATTGACAAACTATGTACACGTTTCGATGAATGAAATAAAAAATATATAAATTTGCGAGAACGAAATTTCATACGACACACACCATGAGATCAAACAAGAAGCACCGGGAAGAAGGCTGCGTCATCCCGTCCGCTGACAGCGTCACGGTATCCCCGCAGTGCCACAGTAAACGCCTCCACGTCACCTTTACAGTCATTTCAAACGTGCAGTCGATCTTTTTGGCAAGTTGCCTGAAAAGGTGAATTAATTTTGTTTTGAACTATTCAATCGTTTTAATATTTATGTATTATGAAAAGTGATATAGGTGAAACACATTTCCCTCATTTTTGTGTTAAATGAATGGGAGCAGCCGATTTCCGAAAATAATTTTTACACCGAGTTTTTGCAGAACGCATCCCTTTCATCAATCACGGGCTACCTGAATTTAATTTTCAGTTCCCCTTTGTGAGAATTGACGATTTAAGAGTCGATCTTAGTATGAATTATATTTCAGAGTTGTTTATTACCCAGTTCTGTCAATTGTACAATAAACTTTCTGAATAGTATTTCTGAAACTTATTTGTTTTCTTTCACTTGCTTTGCATTTCGTAACAACGAAGCTGGGACTGTTACTTGCAGGTGCGGCCCGTCCGTGCAGGTGAACTCGGCCGTCGCCTGGGGCGCCAAGTTAAGTGGGGCGCCAAATGCGAGTACAAAAATACAAATGAAAAAAAATACACATAAAACGAAATTGTCATTAATTCAATTCCCGTGCGCGTACAGAGGGAATATTAATTATAATGAATGTTGATTTGAAGCTTTCGTGACTGCAGGAATCCATACTCTTTGGTTCTTTCGGTAAAGTCACGTAGATAGAAATAAAATAAAACAAACCACGACGTTTCGATCGCAACACAAGCGGTCGTCATCAGGCTCATCAAGCTCCATTTCTTGGACACGTTCCGTGCCGCGGCTGCAACTCCTTCGCTATTTCATGGGACCTCCTTTGCCAGTACCAAAATATACTAATAGGGTTTTTCCCTTTTTTCTGGCAACAAAACTGACACCTTTAACAAGGAATCATGCTTACATTAACCACAATACTTGCAGTCAAATGCAAAAAAAAACCAGAGTATTGGTTTTTTTTTGCATTTGACTGCAAGTATTGTGGTTAATGTAAGCATGATTCCTTGCAAAAGGTGTCAGTTTTGTTGCCAGAAAAAGGGGAAAAACCCTATTAGTATATCCTTCCCTATTCTTGACCTTCGGGCCACCATCACTTCTGTATACGTGTCCTGCCCAAGTCAACTTACTTGGCCAACAATTTGAATGGTCTTATTTAACCCGCATTTCTAATCTCTAATCCATGTTTTCCCACCATTCAATATAATACCATGCATCTCTCAATGCTTTGCACTTTCCACTTTGTTCGATGTTTTTTTGCAAATTGTGTGCTATCGTTACAGCTACCACGTCTGAGTGGGCTCAGACTTGCAAGTTCACTCTGGTTTGTCCACGCACGCAGGTCTTCCCATTATACGCATTGCATGACAGTTGATAGCCGAGTTATTCACAATAACGAGCTTTTATCCCAGTAAACACGTCTGCATGAGGCGACAGGGTGGTGCAATAGTAACACCTGGACCTCACGGGCAGAACGCCCTGGGTTGGATTCCCAACTCAGGCGCTTTCTGTGTGAATTTTTTTTCTTCCAAAATTCTGCAAGAGTTTCTTGCGAGTTCTCCGGTTTCCTCCCATGCAGCCCTGCTCCCATTTGGCCAAGCCGATCATTTAGGTCGGCCTCAAGCAATTATGCGGCACCGCTCCAGCCGCGCGGCTCCATTTGAATTGCTACGAATGCTCGTAAACGTGAATTATGCCGGCAAACCACGTGGTGAGGTGTGCTGAGCTGGCCCCAGATCCCATCCTCAACGTCTCTCCTTGGCTCCTCCACAACTCCTCTTCCCCGTCCCTCCTGCTCCTCTCACAAACTCACCTTCCCTACTTCTCTCTCCTGCCCCCCCCATCCCCCCCTTGCTGTCCTCTGCTTCTCTACACGCATCCCCGTGTCAACTATTTCCTTTTCAGTTTCTGCTCCCCAGCTCTTTCCATGTTGTGCAATCGCCGTGCTGGTGTGACAGTATGTGGGGGAACGGTGGTATAGCGGTTGGCGTGCAGCGCTACGAACCCGGGGACTCGAGTTCGATTCCCGCTCACGGCCAACAGCAGCGACTATTATCTGAATTGGTCCTGGGCCTTCCCTAGGTCGACTCAGCCTTCAATGAGTACCTGGTTTGCTGTGTAAACATCGCCACTGCGGAGATAAAGGAGGTTGGGCATTGGTGCTGGCCACCCACCCCCTCGTGTGCCATGCTGGTCTTCATCGGTGCATGCTAAAAGAACTTACCCCAACAAGGGAGGAGCTTTGTCTTTGTCCCTCCAGCCATTTTATGGGATATGTATTGTTATACCACAATAATCATGCCTGCCTAAAGCTTTGTGTATTTTAATTGCGGGCCTGGTGTTAAGTAGCTGGAGGTGAAACCGGTGCAAGCCAGTACTAATCATGAGAACACTTCGGCAAATGAATGACATATCAGTACTTGAACAGAAAATATATACAACAGTAAACATAACATACCTTAATGCAAAGCAACATATTTATTTCATTTTCCAGTTATGACAAATACACCCAAGACAGTTAAAACATATCTGTCTAAAAACAATTATCTATTTTCCCTAAATCAAAGTAAAATATACTTCCCTGATCTAATAATTTCGCTTATTTTCCTTAACCCAACGATGTACAAACACAACGATATGAAAATAAACTGATTTCAGATTGGGAAACACAAAGTCAAGTTGGCAATTATTAGCTTTGAGCCTCAAAACATGACGTTTTTCGAACTTTGATGAGATATCACGTAAAGTAACTTTGGGGCTTGTTAAAATTAAATTCAAACGCAAGCGGCAAACCACTCGTCTAGAGCACCATCTGGTGGCCCTGACGAGCAATGAACATTGTAGAACTACCGCCCGTGTGCATCGTTCATCCGTCCTCAGGGCAGGTCTGTGTACCGCTTGATCCACGGCAGGAACTTGCTGGTCTTGGTGTAGACGGAGGGTTTCATGGGGAGGGCGCAGCCAAAGGCCCAGCTGGTGACACCGCTCAGATACCAGGCCTTGTCTGTGCCCTGGCAGGCGAGGGGGCCCCCCGAGTCTCCCTGCAGCCGCAGAAACAGCGATCAGTCGTCGATATATCGCAAAGCGTCACGGAGTAAATGCCCGCGTGTCTCAGTACCCTTTGGCGCTTCGTGTCAGACATAAGTCTTTGGTTAATTTGTTCTCATCTTGTTGACTTTTTTGAGGAGCGTTTGTTCATTGTCCTGCGCTGAGATGGGTTGTACCATACTCTGTGGCCTGAGTCGTTTGTACCAAAGAGACACCTCCGTGGATACTCACCTGGTGTGTGATTCACACACCCACGAATTTTAAAATAGTATTCTAGGACTTCTCAATTTCCTGTAATCATCTGAACGGACCTTAAATGTTCTATCATATATGAATAAGGGCCATTGCCTGAAACGTCACCTATTATACGTTCTGTTAAGGTAGTGTTATTGACGAATGTGTTGATGTTGTTTTTATTTGTGCTCATGCACCACTACAAATACGTTGTTGGAAAATAATGTTTGATTTGGTGTGAACATCTTCCATTCCGCCCATACAATTAATGATATTATTGAATTTGCTCACCTATAGGAAATAACCCGAAATCTCAAGGTTTAACGTTTAACCATCACTGATCTGCAATCTACCGTGATTTCCTTAGTTTTGCTTGTCGACAAACCACTGTCTTAAATTCGTATATAACCACAACCTATATTATGTCTAACGGGCTGTCACAAATAATGCACGACGCTGCCTTATCATTGCCCATCATCATCAACCGTGACCAATCCACTGCTGTACGAAGGCCCCCACAAGACATCGCCCTCTCCCACAGTCCTGCGATGTAACAATCTTAACAACTCGGTTCCTGTGGTGGACGGCCCCTCTAGGGCGTGTTCCCTCCTTTGGCTTCAACTCTGTCATTAGTCTTCGACCACTGGAAATTACCACTTCTAGTGACGTCCAAGACCGCTTACTTTTAGTGAGAGTCACACGTGTTTTTAATCTGCTTATGTTTTCTAATCCGTGTCCCTTCTTTTGTTGTGCAACGTAATATCGAGCACTAATCTCTCCGTTTGTATTTGCATGCTTGTCAGCTTTTGTTTTGAAAATGGTCATCAGAGCATTTAAATGTGAATGAGCTATGGGAAGTGATAGAAGAAAAATAAAGAAGAAAAATAAAGGCCACAAAGTTTAGCTCAATAAATGCTAGCAAAACAAAAGTCATGCAACAGTTCACGAAGCAATTGGAGTAGTCTATAGGAGGAGCACAACTGGAAAAGCATCAGAGTATGTGTACCAAAGACCAATTATTGAAAGCAGTCTGAGATCAAAAAAGAGATAAAGCAGCAAACAAAGGGCAGCATGGAGCACTTTTGGAAAACCAATGTTAATAATGAAAAGCAACGCACAAAGGCACCTCAATAAGAAACATTTGAATCAGTGCCTATTGGCTGCTGTGACATTCATACCTGGCAGGAGCTTATTGCACCGGCAGGGTGTCCAATGCAGATCATGCGTGTCGTGATTAAGTTCCCGTTCATCAGGTTCGACGAGCAGGCTTCATGGCTGAAGATCTGCATGGGAGCTTCCAGGAGGTCATAGTGTATGCCGCTCTCTGCAACAGACGAGTCACAGGCAATGAGATACAAGACATCCCACAACCATCCATCATCAGCCATGATTAATCCACTGCTGAATGAAGACCATCCTTCATGGTCCTGCGATGCAACAAGCCAACCAGTACCTTGCGCACGACGCCAATCTCAACCGAGATGTCCACGCCCTCAGTGACCTAACGTTGCCAATAAGAAGGCCCAATACCAAGAGGCACCAATAAGCACCAGGGTTTTTTTTAATCAGACCTACACTCTCGAATTTTAACCTTTTAGGACCAAAAAAACTCGACCTGCATACACATCTCTAAACCAGTCAAACCAGGCCTTGCTTGCCTCACCAGCCAATGATGTCCGTCCCCAGCCCGAGATGAAGCAGGTCTTGCCGGGCTGTGGGAAATGGCTGGTGCTCGGTGGCAGGCAGATCGGTGAGACGCGGTGGTTGAAAGAGACGGGGTCACTCAGCCGCACCAGGGCAATGTCGTAGTCAATGGTGCTGATGTTGAAACGCTCGTGAGTGATGATCTGAGCCACGTTCGCTATCACTGCGTTAGCGCTGTCATAGATGTACGTGATGCCCAGGTACACCTGCCACTCGTAGACGTTGCTGCTGTACCTGTCAGGGGGATGCCACATTGACACGTGGTGATGTGGACGCGGACCGATGCAGAGTTCTGTCGCGAGCCGCCACCTGCGATCAAACTTTGGTCTCAAGTGTAGAAAAGTTAATTATCTCAACCTGGTCCCAACAGAATTCCTTCCAAATAACTCCTTGACTTCAACAGCTTAGAATTAA